ACATTACCATTAATGTTTAAAATATTAGCTAAAAATGTACTCTACATAAATTGTCATAACTTATGAGAGTAAAGTAAGTAGATAATTAATCTGAGATAAGTATTTTCAATGATATATTAGGAATACCTATTCTTTATTTATAATTCTTATTCTTAATGCAACATTGAGTATTTCAAGCTCGTATTACAATGTTATACACTACGATAACAATTATCTTTACACAATGCCATTGTGTACATTGCTATTATTAGCAATTGGACTGCCAATCGATTATTTACAATTATTGTTTAAAAAAAATTTTATTAGGCTATTTATGTCAGAGTTTCTGTGTGATCTGGCCAAAAAAAAACTGTGCCACGCTTTTTAGATTTTTTTTTAGCTAGCGTAGGGAAGACGTGTTTAGTTAAAAAACTTTTTAGAATTTGATATCAATATAGATTATTTTTAGAAACTAGAATAGTTAAACTTTATTACATTAGTTTTTTTTAACGTAAGATCAATAGTTTTCGTCTACACCTTTTCAAGATGTATATGAGAACATGAAAGTTGTAATTAAGAAGTCGTAATATGTAATTAAGAAACACAATGTGTAATTGAGAAAACGTTATATGTAATTGAGAAACACAACATGTAAATAAGAAGTCGTAACATGTAATTAAGAAACACAACATGTAATTGAGAAAACGTAAAATATAATTGAGAAATCATAATATGTAATTGAGAAATCGTAACTTGTAATTGAGAACACATAAATTAAAATAGCAAATTCACAGTCTAAGTTTGTAGGTTGTTACAAAAGGTCTTTTGGACATGAATTTAAGTTATAATCTTAAATTTTGCTTTTGTATGCACAAGTAATAATAATGGAATTGAAAGATCGTTGTGTTATATGCCAATACACTATGACCCGAAAGTCTGTGATTAAGCTAAATCCGTGTCAACATTTATGTCACCAAATTTGTTTACGTCCAGTTCTGGAACAACCAGATTCAAGTTGTCCGATTTGTCGGCATGAAATACACACAACTGATCAAGTAGAAAGGAAACGTTACGTTTTATCTTCTCCAAATGACAGGAGAAGATTTGTTGAATGTGCGGAGCGATTTGAAGATTGGGTGAATCTCGCGCAAACGCTAGGTATCAAATATAAGACAGCATACAATTGGGTTCGCAGCGGAAATTCAAATTTCATCGGAAAAGGAGGTTTTAAACCGAAAAAGTTAACCGAAGATCAAATCGAAGAAACATTAACATGGATTGAAAATGATTGTCAATTAACATTGGTGGCCATCAAAATAAAGATATTAAGACAATTTAACATAAACGTTAGCACAACAACAATAGCAAATTACCTCGAAGGCAGATTGTTCTCATTAAAAAAAGTGCACAAGGAGCCTTCTACAATGAACAGTTATAAAAACAAACAAAAAAGAGCTGAATATGTTAGAAACATCAACAAACATATCACAAATGGTCGTCAGATAGTTTGGTTGGATGAAACAAATTTTAATCTTTTTTGTAGAACAACGCAAGGACGCGCGAGACAAGGAAAAAGAGCAATTATGAAAGTACCTGCTTCAAAAGGTTTAAACATACACTTGATCGCAGCTATTTCAACTACAAATTTCGTCATGATAGAGACTCGCAGGGGATCATTTAAAGCAGATTCCTGTAACGAGTGGATGTTGGCTATGTTTCACCAGTGGGTTACATCCGGGAATCGTTTGGAGGATTTGGTCGTCGTAACGGATAATGCTCCTTGTCACGCTCGTTTGCAAAGGGTGTTTGATAATTCACCAGCTCAGTTGTTACGTTTGGGACCTTACAGTCCAATGTTGAACCCGGTGGAAACGATCTGGTCCAAAATTAAAAGTAACGTTAAAAATGCAATTCGCATTTCACCTGTATTAGGTGACGGGGTTGCGGAACAGCGCATGCAGTACTTAGAACGAATTGTAATTGAGGCGAAAAATACTATAATGGGAGGAGATTGTGCACGTGCGGTACAACACACAACCACGCACTATGCAACTATTTTAAATATGGAAGACGTACAAGTTGGTGCTTAAATGATCAATGAAGTGATTTTAAATTATATAATTTTAAATTATAATTTTTAATTGAATTATAAATTTTTCCCTAAAATGTTTTTAGTGTTTATTATGTTAAATTCATTTGCCCAAAAATTCAAAATCTTGCGTCATTTTTAAGTGCGTCATTTTATACGCTCCATTTTTTTACGCGCCAATTTTTTTAAGCGCCATTTTACACTTACTCCTTTAAAGCGATATCTAAATTAAAATTTTCGTGTTCTCAATTACATCTTTCTATTTCTTAATTACAACTTACATTTTCTCAATTACATATTACGATTCTTAATTACAATTTTCGTTTTCTAAATTACATCTTATGTTTCTTAATTACAACTTACGTTTTCTCAATTACATCTTACGTTTCTTAATTACAACTTTTGTTTTCTCAGTTACATCTTACGATTCTTAATTACAATTTTTGTTTTCTCAATTACATCTTGAAAAGGTGTAGACAAATGTTTTTATTATTTTGTTAAAAAAAGTTTTTCACTTGTTTTTAAGATGATACTTTTAAGAGGTTAAGTCAATTTTTTTTTGCGATTTATTATTTTAGTATTTAGTCTTTTACTCTCAATATTCAATTATATATCTTTATTATGCTATGTTTATTGTGCAGATTTTTGAGCATCCACAATTTTTTTTTAAAGTTGTTTATTTATATATTTCTGATTGTTTCATGCTTTTTATTGAATCATTGTTATTTTTTTTCTACAGGCAATTTAGAACAAATTATAAGTAAGTAAAGTTTGAAATATTTTAGTTATTTAATCATTATTGAAATATTTTAGTTATTTAATCATTTTTTTAGCTTAAATTTCAAACTTGTACTTTCACACTGTGAAAGTACAAGTTTGAAATTTAAGCTAAAAAAGTACTACAAATGAATTGCTGAAAAATACTACCAGTGTTGTGACTAGCTAAAAGAAATTTATTATTGTAATCATTTACTAAAAGCCAAGACAAAACTATATGAGATATACATTTTATTTTTTTTTTAGTTTGAAACAGTCAAAGTGTTATTTGAAAGATTTAAAAATTATTAAAGGTTGGTTAATAAAATGGATATCAAAGCTGTAGAACATTGCATGAAAAAGTTTCAGCTTGTTGCAGATATTGTTTCCAGAGAGTTGACTAGATATTATTTTGTTAAAACACTGCAAATATATAAATTTGAAATTTATAGATTAAAAAACTGCAAGTACTGTGACTTGTTTAAAAAAAAAAGTACTGCTAGTGTTGTGACTTGCTAAAAAAAAGTAGCGCAAGTGTTGTGACTTGCTAGAAAAGAGTACTGCAACTGTTGTGGTTTGCTAAACAAAAGTACTTTAAGTGTTGTGACTTGCTAAAAAAAAGTACTGCATGTGCTGTGACTTGCTAAAAATAGTACTGCAAGTGTTGTGACTTGCTAAACAAAAGTACTGCAAGTGTTGTAACTTGCTATGTATTTTTGATACACGGCTCTGGCTTACCTTCACGCAGTGTCTATTGTTAAAAATGATTATAAAATAATTTCATAAGTATAATTTATCATTGTAATCATTCACTAAAAGCTAAGAAAAAACTTTATGAAATAAAGCATCATTAAAATAATCAAACATTATTTAGTGTTAATAACATTTTATTTGTTTTTTAGTTTGAAACAGCCTAACTAAGGTTAGTAAATACCTTGTTTTGATTACCTTTTTACCACTATTGACTGATAATAGAAGTCACTCTGAATGAGAATATTTTAACCAAAAATTCTCCATTTAATCAAAAATGCTTTTTTTTAAAAAAAAATGTAACTTTTTTTGGGTTAGATATATTTTTTACTTCTTTGTTGTTGTTTTTTATATAACCAATTAAATATTTCATAATTAATTTTTTTTTGCAATATTAGGGTGTGTTAAAACATGGTCAACCATTTAACATGAGTTTTACACTTACCTTCAATGTTTGGTGGTTGTCCAGTATTAATTTATAGAACCTTTATACAGAAAAAAACTTTTAATTTATAGAACCTTTTTACAGAAAAAAAAATTGTTTTGGGACTTTAGGAAACAATAGTTGTGTCATTTTAATTTTTTTTTATTTTTTTTTTAAGGTTGGGGGGGGGGAGGGAGAGTTATTCGCTCCTCCCATACATCGATGTAAACACGACTTAAATTCGTAATAGTACCACCACGTAAATTCTTGTAGAACATAATTTTATATTGTATACTAATTCAATTCATTTTAGTAAAAATAAAAATATTTATGAAAACAAGTCTTTTTTGATACTAGGGTGTATCAAACCATCACCACCCCACCTACCTCCAACGTTAACATACGCTTCTCATATACTCTGGTAGTTAAATATAATTTTATAACTATGTTTTTGTATGTTTAAAATACTTATGTCTTGAAAAAAGACTTTTTTGTGTGGAAAAAAAGTCTTTTTTCAAGAAAAAATATTTAGTTTCATACGGGTAAGGTGGTGGTTTGGTGCCCCCTCTGTCCATCCGATACACCCGGTGGTTAGAGTTTAACAAAAATTTGTAGCCCACTCCTACACCTATCTTTTGACACCAAGGTATTTGTATTTCGATAAGAATGAATAAAGTTATGACAATTTAAGTGAAGAAAAACATAATTTTGACCACAGTTTCTTCAACAATTTCATATATCGAAAAATCGATACTTAAACTGTCATAACTTTTGAACCGATTGTTCGTTTTTGATAATTTTTCACCTTTAAAATACTGTATTGGTCCTCTTTATAATGATATATAACAGTAGAATATTTAAACAATTTGAATTTTTTACTCACGTGCCTACTGTAGAGTTTACATAATTTAACATTTACATTTGGCAAAAATGAATTGGTTGAAAACCCAGCTTCATTTTAAATCAATCATTGAATCAATTTTTTCCTGTTAAATATTTTTACAGACAAGGTTTTTCACAAATTGTATAAACTAATCAAGCCAACACACAATAGTAATAATTACAATAGATACGTATGCTAATATCTTTAGGTATACATAGTTACAGTTACTATAATGTTTTTACAATTTTAAGATAACAATTTTACTTTTCAGTATATATTTTCAAAATTTGTGACAATAGTATTATCAAAGTTATTTATTAATTTTACATATTTAAAGTAAAATTATAACATAAGCTTAAAATACAATTTATAAAATAATATCTATTAGATAATCTAATTGCTATTTTTATACTATTATTGTATTCTATGTCTAAAGATATTGCTATTTAATGTTGTTTAGTTAAACATAGTTTGTAATAAAATTGTCATAGTTTTACCCAATTTATGCAATATACTATATACAAAATATATGAAAACAATGGTTTGTTGTAGTGTCCTCAAAGATCAATGTATTGCCAGATGACTTTGATTTGATGTTTTCTGACATGGTTTTCGAAGATGAGATGATAGTTGCTGTTCCTAATCCATGTGAAATCGTTGTCAAGATTATTGGTAAATATTTACTATAAATTAGTTTAAAATCATTATGTCCGCTTTTTTCTTATTATTTTAAAAGTTTGTTCTAAACTAATAATATTTTTCTTTATGCTTATCTTATGTTTAATATATGATAATTATATTTCGTGTTTTAATATATGATAACTATATTTTAGAATCAGACCCATCATTCCAAAGAGTTTATGTTTTTTATGTATGTTTGTGTTATGTCTGAACCTCTGGCGCGGTGTTGACTCACCCGTAAGTTGATTTATGTTTGTTTGTGTTCTGTTTATACTCTAATGCAGCGTGAGCTCAGTAACTAACTACTTACTCTAACTAAGAAACCTACACTCACCTTAGACTCTTGTATTTTGTTAGATGCAGTGTTTTCCTAATGCACTTCCAAAATATCATGCCTGGTTTTCTCAAAGTCCTGTTGCGGGAAGTAACTCCTTTTACCTACTCCAGGTCAGGTCAGGATAATCGAGACCAATCTTGCTACTGGTATCACGTAACCCAGTACCACCTGCCACAAGCCCTGCTGCCTTGCAGAGTGTGCTCTTCATAGGCAAAGGCTAGGAGAAATAAACTCCGACTAAAAATTCCTTTGCCTTGGTTGAGTAAAGGCTAGAGATGGTGTCTCGATAAAAACACTCATCTTGGGCAGATGTTAACTGCATCCAGCTAAACATCCCCTGCCTTGGGGCTCTTGCTTGAGTAAAGGCTAGAGATGGTGTCTCGATAAAAATGCTCATCTTGGGCAGATGTTAACTGCATCCAGCTACTGTCTTGTAGAAGGCCTCCTAGGCAAAGACTTTAGGGGTAAGCAGAAAAATTCTGCTAACCAGCCTCGAACCCCTTCTTCATCTATTAGGCTGGCGTAGATGTAACCTGTGTTACATAGTTTCCTGCCTAGGATGATGAATGCTGGATCTCCTTGACTCTACTCATAGAATTTTGCTTATGCCTTCTTGATAATGGCTATGCAACTCTTCCTGTTATCTCCATATGAGGGTACAGCTCATATGGAGTTATATCAGTTGAGTCTCACCTCCTGCAAAATTCACCAGACTTGCTTGCACTCAGTGAAACAAATTTAAATTCTGCAATTCCTTCTTCAGATGTCAGTGTTGATGGGTACTAACCTTTGATTCGTAAAGACTCCAATAGTCACATGCAAGGTTTAGTGATATACATACGCATTAATTCCCCTATTTGTCGTGAAATGAGGTTCGAATCCTTTGACCATTCTTTTATGTGCTTTCGCCTAGCACCTCTTCACTCTATCACCTTTTTCTTTGTTCTTTATCGTTCTCCTTCTTCCCATGATTGCACTCTCTTAGATGTTATCTCTGATCAAATTGACCATGCCCTCTCTCTTTACCCCTCTGCCAATATTGTTGCTGTTGGTGATTTTAATGCCCATCACACTGAATGGCTTGGCTCTAACTCCACTGATCCTGCTGGCACTAAAGCCTTTAACTTCTGCGTTTCTCAATCTCTTACTCAGATAGTTAACTTTGTGTTTCGTTTTCCTGACAACCCTAACCATTTACCTTCACTCCTTGACTTATGTCTTGTCTCTGACCCTAGCTTATGTTCAGCTTCTCCCTTTTTTCCTATAGGTGGTTCTGACCATGCAATGATCTCTATAAATCTTTCTTCTCGTACTTCTTTTTTGGGCTCAACTTATCTTTGCACCACCTACTACTACCCTAAAGCTGACTGGGATTCCTTTCGTGATTTTCTTCGTGATGGTCCTTGGGCTGATGTTTTTTCTCTCTCAGCTGACAAATGCGCCTCCTACATAACCTCCTGGATTCAGGCTGGAATGGAAGCTTTTATTCCTTCGCGTCGGTTTCAAGTCAAGCCTCATTCTACTCCATGGTTTTCTCCTTCTTGTGCGGCTGCTATATCCAATCGTAATCATTTTTATCATCTTTTATAAAAGAACAACTCTCTTGAGAACAAACGGCTATTTATTATTGCAAGAAATCGATGTAAAAAGGTGCTTTCTGATGCTAAACTCCATTATTCTCAGTTCACTAAATCTCGCATCTTATCACAGAAGTTAGGCTCTAAAGACTTTTGGAAAGTCTTCAACAGCATTTTTAACAAGGGTAGATCTAACATTCCATCTCTCATTCATGGGACTGATCTTATTACCTCTCCCAAGGATAAGGCAGAACTATTTACAAAGAACTTTTCTTCTAATTCCACTCTTGAACCTTATGGACATTCTCTTCCTTCCATTCCAGTCAAACAGGTTGACCCATTGTTAGACATTCAAATCACTCCGGCTTCTGTTGCTAAAGTCATATCTCAATTAAACTCATCTACAGCTTGTGGTCCAAACAACATTCCTGTCACAGTCTTGCAGAATTGTTCTCCATAACTTTCTTCAATTCTCTCTAAACTGTTTAACAAGTGTTTGACTGAGTCTTGTTTTCCTGCTTGTTGGAAAATGGCATCTGTGGTTCCAATATTCAAAAACTCTGGAGAAAATTCTGACCCCTCCAATTATCGTCCGATCAGTCTTCTTTCTGTTATTAACAAGGTCTTTGAGTCTTCGATCAACAAATTCCTCACATCTCATCTTGAGTCTAATAAACTACTGTCAGACAATCAATACGGTTTTCGATCCTCTCGCTCTACGGCCGACTTGCTAACTGCTGTAACTGAAAGATTTTATCGTGTATTAGATGAAGGCGGTGAGGCTAGGGCTATTGCTCTCTACATATCTAAAGCTTTCGACAAAGATTGGCATGCTGGTCTTCTCCATAAGCTTGCTTCATATGGTGTTTCTGGGAAAGTTTTTGAGATTATCAAATCATTTCTTTCTGACCGGTTTATTAAAGTCATCCTTAAAGGCCAACACTCTTCTTTATTTCCAGTAACATCTGGGGTTCCCCAAGTTTCCATCCTGGGCCCTGTTTTGTTTCTTATCTACATAAACGATCTTCCTGACAACCTTTCCTCTAAAGTAGCTCTTTTTGCTGATGACTCAACTTTATACTCCTGTCTTGACAAAAATTCTTCTCTTTTCGATCGCCTAGAACAAGCAGCTGATCTTGAATCCGATCTCACTTCAGTAATAGATTGGGGTTCACAGTGGCTTGTGAATTTCAACTCTAAAAAAACCCAGTTGCATACTGCAAACAACTACCGTATTATGGTCAACATTCCTATATTAATGAATGGCAATCCTCTTACTGAATCCTCCTCTTTACGTCTTCTTGGATTATCGCTCACTGACCTTTCATTGAAACCATATATACAATCGATTGCTAAATTAGCTTCTGTTAAAGGTTGCTTTTCTTTATCGTGCTCGCCATTTTCTAACTTCTGATTCCATTCTCTACCTCTACTAATCTCTTATTCGTCCCTGTATGGAATACTGTTGTCATATTTGGGCTGGTTCTTCTAACGATTCACTTTCTCTTCTTGACAAGGTCCAAAATTGCATTGTAAATGTTGTTGGACCTGGACTATCTGCTAAGCTTGAACCTCTTTCCCATTGTCGTAAAGTTGCATCTCTTTCTCTTTTCTACAAATACTATCATGGTCACTGCTCAAAGGAGTTATCATCTCTAGTTCCATCAACTAAAATTCATTCTCGATTTACTCGTCATTCAGCTAAGTCTCATTCGTTTACTGTATCTGTCCCTGCATGCTCTAAAAACTTTTATTCATCTAGTTTTTTTCCCCGCACTTTAATCCTTTGGAACTCCCTCCCATCTTCATGTTTTCCTGACTCATACAACCTTCAACTTTTCAAGTCTTCTGTCAACCGTTTCCTTGCTCTATAACTCTGTTCTTTTTTTTTCCAAGTAACTCCCAACTTAATAGTGGTTGCTTGCAACCTTGTTGGGAGTGAATGCAAGTAAAAAAAAAAAAGAGTAACATATGAACCGACATTTCTTGAAATGTTAAACTCTGTTCTAATTTATAGCTGAGAAAGTTCAGGGGATTCTCCTAGTACAAGTAAAAGCTCGACACAATCATCGTTCATTTTGCAGCCACAAATTATGAATGTCCTAGCTACTGTCCAGTCTCCACTTTCTCTAGAGATTGGAGTTAAGGTATGTTGCTGTGGATTTATGTCTTAAAATAATGCACGTATGGACAGACATTTAGGTATAAGTTCAATATGGAAAATTGTTTGTATAATTTGTAATGCCTCATTTAAATCAACAAGAGGAGTATCAAGGCACATTTGCAAAAAAAATGAAATAGCAGTTTTACCCTTTCCAAAGATAAAAATAGACTCACAAACAACATTTGCAATTAAACTCTGTCGTCAGTTGAGAGTGCCTTTAACAACTGTCAATACAATATTTAGTATTTTCGCCAATATGTTACTTAATATTCGGAGGTTAATAAAAGAAGAGCATTTTTATACTTTTGGCAAGTATTTTTCACAAGTGGATATCCTTAGTAATAAATATCAAAGAGAAAAATTGTTAAATGATTTGTTTGACATTTTGAAAATAAATGAAGTTTTATTTGCTGGTGGCAAAGGTTATAATTTTTTACTATTTGACATTATTAATTTCCTTTTGCAAATTGATGAGTTTGTACAACTTTTAAGTAGGAAAGATGCTGAAGCAAATTATTGTACAGATTTCTCTACCCACAAGCCATTAGAATTTTCTCTTAGCTTATATTGTGACGATATAGAATTAGCTAACCTTATTGGCAAACACAGAAAACTTCATAAACTAACTATTTTCTATGTTCAATTTCATTCCTTGCCATCATATATGCGTTCTACTTTAATATCAGTTTTTCCACTTGCTGTTGTGCCTGTAAAGTTATTAAAGTCTAATAAAAAAGGTGCTTATTTTCAGTACTTAGAAGATTTTATTACTTCCTGTAATCTTTTGAATAATGGTGTTACTTTTAATTCAACGAGTGGTTGTGTAAAACTATTTTTAAAATTTGTAATACATTTGGGAGATACATAAGCTTCAAATCACATTTGTGGATTTAAAACCAGCTTTGCACCAAACGTATTTAGATGCTGTCGTACATGTCTTACCACAAATATACAAATGTCATCAATTTACAAAGAAGATATGTGTATATTACGTACTCAAGCAAACCACCAGCAACATATCTTAGATCTCAAGAGTGTGAAAAGTAAAAAATCTAAACTCTATTGGTCAAGATTTTATGGCATAAATTATGAGAGTGCACTTTTACTAATCACCGCTTTTGATATTATTGAAAACGCACCACACGATCCCATGCACATTT